AGGTAACATCATCACTGCTAGAAGGGAGAGGAGGAGGAAGAAGGGGAAGACTGTGGGGTCCTCGGGCTGTCTTGAGTTTGGGGGTTTTCCTGCAGACGTTTCATGACCCAACTAGGTAACATCATCACGGCTATGATGATGAAACTCCCCCTCTCTCTTCCAGCACTGATGATGTCACCTAGTTGGGTCATGAAATGTCTGCAAAAAAACAAAATACCAAGCTCAGAGAGCATCCCACAATGCTTTGGTGTGTTAATATTCCAGAGACTGAATTTTAAAATCTGGTTTAAAAAAAAAACCCACAAAACTTTGCTCAAGTCATTTTCCAAGCTGGAGTCCATGCTTTTTCGCTGACTGCCATTGTCGATCTGTGCTCTTTTTTTTGTTTTTTTTACGTAAAGGCCTGCATAGTCTCCTTCCAACCTGATCGCGTCTTGCTTTGTCATGCAAATGAGCTGCATCTAGACATTATATAGTCCACCGGCTTTCACCCTTACCACAATCAACCGCTTTTCCCTCTTCCATCTAAACTCTTTTTTTTTCCCCACAGTTCCTTTGATAACATTTGCGTGTAATGGGCAGCAAAAGCTTTCTTCTCCATTTCCCTTTTTTAATGTACCATTTTAAACCACTTAGGCCAATTTTCCTTCTGTATCTTTCAAAAATGAAACAAAATAAATGCCCGCGGAACATTTCTGTTGCGTGATGTTCTAATCCTATTTCAAGCTGTTGCTTTATGTTTATGCAGTCGATTAGGCCAGGGGTCGCCAACCTTTTGGATCTCTGGGACTACCAAAATTCATAATTTTAAATCCACGGACCACTAATATGAATGTTGATTGACGGTGGCTTGCTGACGTTTTCCCAGGGTCTCTGCCGAAAGCAGCAAAGAACCTGGGAAAATCCCCAAAAAATTCTGCAGGAAAATTCCCCACCCCGTTTTCCTACCGGTCGATCATTCTTTATTTGGATCGCAGGATACGGTCTCCAGCTCCGTTCTCAGGGGGAGGGAGGGAGAGAGAGACTTTTGGCTTCATGCAAGGAAAGCAGCAGAAGCAGCAGAAGTCTTTCTTTCTCTCCCCCAAACTCTGCCAGAAATGAGTCTTTGTGAGACTTGTCTCGCTGGCGCAGCCTCTTGGAGCAGGAGGCCTTGCAGGGTCCCAAAGGCTCATTTCTGGTGGAGTTTTGGGGAGAGAAAGAAAGACTTTTGCTGCTTTCCTTGCGCGCAGCCAAAAGCAGAAGGAAGAAGCGGAAAGAAGCAGCCCGGTGGCCAGGCCAGATGTGTGGAGTGAGTGGGGCAAGGTCCCCCCCCCTGCCCTTTCTCCCCCTCCCCTCACTACCTCGTGTTGTTCACAATGCAAGCGACGCAAGCCTTGTGTTCCCGCGGGCCATGTGGGCAGCACAGCCTTGTGTTCCCATGCTTCCTGGATTAATTGCTTTGGGGGGGTCATTTCTCTGTGGACCACCAACATTTTCTCACGGCCCACGAGTGGCCCCCAGCCCACTGGTGGCGACCACTGGATTAGACTGCATTAGACTTAAGCCAGCAACACGGTCGTTAAGTGAATCTGGCTTCCCCCGTTGGCTTTGTTGGTTAGAAGGTCGCAAAATGGGGATCATGTGACCCTGTGGACACTGCGACCGTCGTAACTTATGAGTCTGAATTTTGATCTCGTGACCCTGAGGGTGTTGCAACCCTCGTTAAGTGTGAAAAACGGTAACCCAGTGCCGTTGTAAAACTTGGAATGGTCACTAAACGAATGACTGTGACTCCAGGCACAGCTTGAGAACTTGAACTCATAACCCTAATCCAAATCTCCCAGGTGATGCCAGCCAGACTGCCTTGACTAAATCATAAATCTGTCAACATTCCAGAAAACCTCCACTCCAACCAATAACTCCGAGACAGACATCGTCTCAAAAGTTCTTTTGGATCGCAAACTGGCACAACTTCCACGCTTCCTTTTGCAATAAGTAAAAAATGACGAATCCAACTCCCTACGCCCATCATCGCATCACATGCTCCAATCACCATCCATCCCAATGAGACTTCCCCTCACCCAGGTGCAGAAATAACACGACCTTGACTTAGAAAAAGAATGCTATTACGTCTAACTACCTACACTCCAAGAAATTCCCCTCTCCCATTTTCCCAGGCTCAACATGTGGCAGTGTGGGAGCATCTGGTCTCAGCATGGCTCCCATGATTGCCTACTGGCCTAAATCATAAACTGTGGCTTACAAACCACAGAGACCAAAGCGAGAGAACAAAATCCTCAAGCAAGCCAGGTCACAAAGGCAGAAGCCCACCCCCCACATCCGGTTCCCCCAGCTCACCTCAAGCTTGTTGGCGTTCAGGTTGGCTGTCTTCTCGAGTTCAATCCGGGCCCTTTTGTGACTTAATTCCATCTGCATTTTCTCCCGTTCCATCTGCAACAGCCGCGTGTCCGAATGGATTTGCTCGGCCTGCTCTTCCAGCGAACCCCGTTGCCCAAAAGGGAAAAAGAGACCAAGCAGTAATCCCACGAAGCTGTTGAAGGAGGCTGGCCAGGCCTCCATCTCTGGAGGGGTGTATGGGATGGGAAGGGCCTAGAGTTAACCCGTAGCATTTTACAAGCAACTTCCACACACCCCCACCCAGGAGTAAGACAATATTCTGTCCAGGAATTCAGGTACCTAACCTACTGGGGCCCCTGCTCCACCTGGTTCTGTGTGTTTAGCGAAAAGCAAAATAAGCATCAATAGGGAGGCGTCAACTAGTTGAGATAGGCAAAATATTTGGTGGGCAGAAGGATTTTTTGTTGTTGTTTAGTTCACCTCCAAACTAAAACATCCTTCTGGATATGGACCAAATCACAACTACGTAGTCTACTAATTCATTTACTTAAAACAATGATACAGCTGCCCAACTTACAACCATTTTTGGGCGAGCTCTCAATCCAAAGGTAAACCAGCATTAAAAAACCATAGGAAAATTATAAAAATTAGCCCACTGGCGACCACATTATAGGGTTGAGGGTCAAGGGGAAAGAAGAGGGAAAGAGAGAAGTCTACGATTGCTGGCTTGAGCGCAGACCCCGGGCTGGGCAAGCTTGATGGCCGCTGTGCTTATAATATACGTCATTATTAAGTTTGCTCAATTTTTGCTTGCTTGGATTAGGCGATTGGCTTGTTTGCCGAGTGTGTGACCACTGGTGAGCACTGTCTCACCTTCATCTTTTGCTCGTATTGGGTCTGGAGTGAGTCCGGATGAGGCAGTGAGTCATTTTTGAGAAACGAATCCTCCCCGGACGATTCTTCCTTATAGAGGGCCGCGTAGGTGTCGAACGTCTTCAGGAGGTTGAAGACGGTGGTGTTCGGCCCTTCTTCCTCCATCTGCATCCGAGTTCTGCCATGCATACGACGAAAAATAATTTTAGAAAAATGAAAGGCGCCTCTCTTCACACACAGGTCAAGGTATTGCACTCCAAACTGTAGCCTTCCAAATTAGTTTTTAAAAATAAATCTGACTTCTTTGATTAGAGCAAGGGCCTTCCAACTTGGCATGTTTAAGACCTGTGGATTTCAACTCCCAGAATTCCTGAGCTAACATGACTGGAGGAGGAAGAATTCTGGGAGTTGAAGCCCACAAGTCTTAAAGCTGTCAAGTTTGAAGATCTCCTGGAATAGATAGATAAAGAAAGGTAGAATAGATAGAAAGAAAGATACAATAGATAGTGGGAGAGGGAGAGAACGATAGGATAGATAGAATAGAAAGAGAGGCAGAATAGAAAGAAATAGAATAGAATAGAATAGAATAGAATAGAATAGAATAGAATAGAATAGAATAGAATAGAATAGGACTTGTGGGCTTCAACCCCCAGAATTCCTGAGCTAACATGTCTGGAGGAGGAATTCTGGGAATTGAACCCCACAAGTCTTAAAGCTGTCAAGTTTGAAGACCCCTGGAATAGATAGATAGGGAAAGAGAGGTAGAATAGATAGACAGATAGAGAGATAGAGAGATAGAAAGAGAGATAGAGAAATAGGATAGGGGGAGAGAGAGAAAGATAGGATAGATAGAATAGAAAGAGATAGAATAGATAGAAGAGAGATAGATAGATAGATAGATAGATAGATAGATAGATAGATAGATAGATAGATAGATAGAAAGAATAGATCAAAGGGTCTTTCAACTTGACAAGTTTAAGACTTGTGGAGTTCAACTCCCAGAATTCCTAAGCTAACATGACCAGAGGAGGAATTCTGGGAGTTGAAGTCCACAAGTCTTAAAGCTGTCAAGTTTGAAGATCCCTGGATTAGAGAAAAGATGACAAATGCATTTATTGCTGTCAAAAGAAGAGTATTTGCAGCTCAGGGTTGAACTATGAAGTCGAACACGGTTGGAGGATGTTACCTAGTTGGGTCATGAAATGTCTACAAGAAAAGAATGAAGCTCAGAGAGCACCAAGGAGCCCAGCGTCCTTCTCCTCTACTATGCAAAACCCCACTCCCTTCTAGCAGTAATGATGCTACCTGGTTGGGTCATGAAACAAGCTCAGAGGGCATCAAGGAGTGCCAATTTTATTGCTGTGGAAAACTCTTTTATAGTTTTGGGGTTTTTTTGCACAAAAGAACAAAAATTAACTTTTGATTTGTAGTTTTGATAGTAGAAAAAAAGAGAGACTTTTTTTTGTAGGTAGAGTAAAAATAATTTTGTAATCATCTTTGCATTTTCTGGGAAAGAAAACAGAAATGTCTTTTTTTAATCTTTTTCTTTTACACTTTTGCTAGCTCCCTTTCTTGCAGGTTGTGTTTATGACTTGCTTGTTTGCCTCTTTTTGCAACGCTCAGCTCTTTCCGTTTCCATTTTCTTTTAACCAGTTTTGGAACAACAATTTGTCAGAGCAGGGAAAGAGGCGAAATTAAGAGGAAGGACCAAAAAAAGATAGAAAATGGAAAGCAAGCGAGAAGAAATTATGTTATATATACATTGTTTTACCCTATTTTTATACTATTTGTATTGTTTTGCATTATTTCTACACTGTGTTACATTGTTTACATAATGTTTCAGTGTGATTTTATACTGCTTTATAGAGTTGTTATGCTGGTTTATGCATTGTAAATTGCCCTGAGTTGTTGTGCCACAAGGGACTGAGGTTTGCACTGACGATGTTTCCTAGTTGGGTCACAAAACATCTGCAAGAAAACCATCAGGCTCAGAGAACACTAAGAATCCCACAGTCCTCCTCCTCTTCTCTGCAAATAAGCACTCCCTTCTAGCACTGATGATGATACCTAGTTGGGTTATGAAAGGTTTGCAAGAAAACCACTAAGCTCAGAGATCACCAGGGACCCATAGTCCTTCTTCTCTCCTCTTCCATCTCCACTCTGCAAACCCTTCTTCTAGCCTTCTAGCACTGATGATGTTACCTAGTTGGGTCATGAAAAGTCTGCAAGAAAACCATCAGGGTCAGAGAACACCAAGGACCTCATTTTTCCACTAGCCTGCAAGATTTCGACCTTTAATCCGCTACCCCACAAACAAACAAAATGCAGCTATTCTTGCAACCATGTCTGGTGCTTTAATCCTAATCGTATTATAGGCTGTTTGCAACGTGTGATCCAGGTGTGCCTTCTATGTCCCTTGCAAGGGGGAAACCACCCCAAGGTATCTGAATGTCCTAACCTGTTCTAAATTATACCCTTCTATTTTCTAGGAGTATCGTTTAGGCCAGGGGTATCCAACCTTGGCAACTTTAAGACTTGTGGACTTCAACTCCCAGAATTCCTCAGCCAGCAAAGCAAAGCTGGCTGAGGAATTCTGGGAGTTGAAGTCCACAAGTCTTAAAGTTGCCAAGGTTGGATACCCCTGGCCTAGGTCTTTTAGCAAAAACTAAAACTTTTCGTTTATCAAAGTTAAGGACCAGCTTAATCTGTCTACAATAGTCAAGTGTTGCCGTAATTGCTCTCTTCAATCCTATGGGAGTTTGTGAGATTATAGCAGCACTGTCGGCATATAGGAGAATTGGGGTTTTACGTTGCGCTACATTAGGATGATATACATCAGGGTTCGGTAAGAGGTTGATCGGGGGGCTAATGTAGAAGTTAAAAAGAGGGGGATAGGATGCAACCTTGCTATACCTTCTCTGCCTCCCATGGAGTCCCAGCTTATCAGCTGGGTCTTCTTTGGTTTGCCCTGCACAGGAGAACAGAGCTGGAAAGCAGGTTAGTGGGGCGGGAGGTTTGCAGTAACTTTCCCATCAAACCCAGCAAGTCAAGCCCACAAAACTGGTTAGTAAAAAAAAATCTGAATCCCACAACTGATACCTACAGCTCCTCACTGCTGATCAGTTTCCAAACCTTAATACAATCACACAACCCAAGTGGAAACAAAAGGAGACAAGTGTTGCAAGCAGAAGCAAACAAATAGTAATACAATCTCCAAAGGAACAACAACTAAGAGGAAACCGAATCCCGGGTTCCTTTTGCATGACCTTCCCCATCCTGGGACACACACACACCCTTTCCAACCTTGGCTTCAAACCCATCGTCCCCTGCCTGCACATTGGCCCTCCTAAAGTTTAGGGGTTTTGTGGTACACTTGATGCAACTTTTGTGTTGTTGGCATTGCATTTCCTATGCTGCCCCGCTTTCACCCAGGCAAACTCCGTCTAACCAACATCAAAGGGCAATGTGAGCTCTTCGTTTCTCTTCATCCCATTCCCTCCCAGTTTCTCTTTTCTGCCCAAACTGGGGTGGGGTGGGCGGGTGTCCCCGTTGTGTGTGCGGTTGTGTCTCCCAACCAACTCGGATAGGCTACACGAGACGGAGACGGGGCTCTTAAGGCAGCGAGGAGGTACAGCAAGGGAAAGGACGAATCTGCGATGGCACTCTGTACACGCCCAGGAGCACTCTCGGCACGCCGACCGAGAAAGAAGCCGTGTGGGACGGGCCCTCGTTCTCCGGCTCCAGAGGGAAGACCGAAGCCGGCGAAGGGTGGGATGGGGTGGGGGGATAAAGCCCGTTAACCCGCTCGCCCTCCCCGACCTCCGGGTCCCTGAGGCGACGAGACGAAACCCCTCCGCCCCGGTCGCCGCCCGCCCGCCCGCCCTCTGCCGCCCCGCCCGCGCGGGACCCACGTGAACACCCTCGGCCTCGCGCGCGCGCACTCACTCTCCGCAATCGGCCATGGCCGCCTCGCCTCTCCCTCCTCCTCCTCCTCCACCACCACCTCGGCGCTGCGAGAATTCCCCGCCCAACTCTCGCGAGAAACCGTCGCCTTCGCTTCCCAGCTGCGGGGGCCGTAGGGCTCAGAATAGAGGCGCGGCGCGAAATGAAGGAGGAGGCGCGGCGCGCTCTTCTGGCGGAGGGCGGCATTTCTTCAAGCAGGAAAGAACAAAATTGCAAGTCCATTTCGAGGAAAGGAAGAGAATGTTCAAACCCGCATCGCCGAGTTTTTCCAGTTTTTGTTTATTATTGCGGATGGTTTTATACGGTTTTATGATATTTTGTATTGTTTGTGTATTGTTTTACCCTGTTTTTATGCTCATGTATATTGTTTTACATTCTTTTACACCATTTATACTGTTTTTATGCTATTTGTATTGTTTTGCATTATTTTACACTATTTTACACTTTTCGTACTATTTGTATTGTTTTGCATTATTTTACACCATTTATAGTGTTTTAATGCTACTCGTATTGTTTTGCATTATTTTACACTATTTTACACTGTTTTTGTACTATTTGTATTGTTTTGCA